AATAAAGACAATGTGCTCCTGCTTTAATTCACGTTTAAAAAAATAAAAAAATCGCTTTTCATTACGCATTTCACTATAATCACACTTTCTTCTCTTGATTTTCTTGAATTACACGATTTTTTTTTTTTTGTATTTTGCATCCGTTGGCATTCGATTGACTTGTGAATGAAATCTGTAATCTGTTTTACTTTCTTCATTCAAAGAGCAAGAGTTTGTGTCCTTTGTTTATCTGAGAAAAGAAATCATAGGTGAGTCAATACTTTACACTTGTAATTAGTAGTAGATTAGTAGCAGACTTAAATTAGTAGTAGACTATTTTGTTGGTATTTTTTCAAACGAAATGCATTCGATTGGCTGTTAAGTTACTACTGAATTTTTATATTTAGATGTACTATAAGCAGGTGAAAAATATATACATTCTCTGAATATGGCAAAAGATCTACATATGATTAGATTCTCAGTTACCTAATGGGAATACCAACCAAAAACCGCCAAAAGCTGTGGTAACATTTTGCTTCAAAGTCGCGAGTCGAAACCGCATTTGAGCATTTCCACTAATTAAAGTGACACGAAAACCGCAATACACAAATACACACGTACACGCACACACACATACTCACACACTATACAAAACGACAAATAAATCAGCGTTTGCCGCAACGTAAAGCTGGCAAACTTTTTCGGCGGATAGAAAATGGGAAAATTTGTGTGCTTGGCAGGAGCTTGACGCCTGCAGCTCCTCCACTGGCTGCTGGAGTAGATTGAATTTGGGACAGGCCACGGCTTTGTGGTGACAACATTTGTCCAACTGCCACTGTCAGAGGCATTTGCGAGTAAAATCTTGTTGTTGGCTCTTTAATTACGCTTCAATGCCTGAATGTGTGCCATGCCACTCACCTGAGCATTTTTTTTTAGAGATCCAAGTGCTTGGCGGAGCCTTCCAAGCCAGCTGCCAGCTGATTTGGCAGCTGCAGCAATCCGTTCAGTGCCAGCGGCGCAGCACGTCGATCCTTGGCCGTGGCATGAGCTGAACTAGCGTTGCCCAGAGCGCCTCCGAGCCAACGCTTGTACGTGTGCTCCGGCGATGTGTGCCAGTATTTGTGGAACGAGATGGGCGCATTGAGCTGCAGCAGCTCTGGCGCATAGTCCTGCGGCCGTGCCTGATGCAGAGCGGGCACATGCGTGGCCGTCACGCCCAACGCCTGCAGACAGTAGCCCAATATCATGTCGTCTGGTGCACTTGCTGTCGGACAACTGCATCGCTGCACCACAAGTCGCAGCAGCGGCACGCTAAGCACAATGCCAGCCCCACCTGTGTGGTAATTGAAGCCATCCGGGGCATATAGTCGATAGCCATAGCGTTCCCCAAGATAAATGTTATTCGTGTGATTGTAACAACCAAGCAGCTTGCTTAGCCGTGGTACGCTGCGTGTGAAATATTTTAGATAAACATAAAAAATTTGTTGAAGAGAAAGCAATGATCATTTATTAAGAGAGCATTTAGTAAAAGAGCAAAACTCCAATGTAAAGTAAGTCGCAAGAGTACAAATATTGTCAAACAATTTTTCAACTGTTAATGCTGTATAACATTAATTAGTGTGAGTGAGAGAGAGAGCGAAAGAGAGACTTTCTACTTGCACACTATTGCTTTTGATCCCTTTATTAGTAGATGTGCATGTGGCTGAGAACGTGAGCATAATACTATATATAGGTATGTATGTAACGATGTTTTAACGAAGGCTTAACGAAGGCTTCAAACCAATAGTATAATTTCAATTGTGAGCATTTAGATTTAGAGTTTTGGTTGTTTTAGTGTATTAGTGCAAGCGCCAACCTAACGTTGCTAGCTTAAAGCTCAATGGCAAAGAGATAATTTCAAAAGAAGAGCAAAACACAGCAGGCATGCTGCGTGTAAATGTATGCAGTATATAGATATCAATAAAAATATAAATGAATTATAAAAAAAAAATCACAAACCGGGGCAAGCAATGATAATTTTAATTGAATGTGCTTTGAGGCGTGTAAGCCGCAAAAAAATCGTGGCGCACACATACATATGTATGTATGTAGGCTCACTCAGTGAGTGACACTCACATACATACACTCTTGTAAAAGCAACCTCTCTTAAATGCACACAGATGAAGACTCACTCGCTCCCTCTTCCTCTTTCTCTCTCTCTCTCTCTCCCATACACACACACAGACATACCTTAACAGCGTATCATCGTCGACAAGCATCAGCCAGCGTATATCCGTTAGCTCGTTGATATCCTTGAGGGATAATTGCAAAATTGCCAATGTTTTGGCACAATGTCCAGTCGGTACATTGGGTAGGCCCGTGCCGGTCGTAGGTATACCATCATCTGTTGCGGTTGCCAGTGGAGTCGAGTTGTGCAGTGTCGTAGCATAAAGGTGAAAGATCATAAAGACAAATCAATGAATATTCAATATGGCAGCTGCTGCTCTGCTGCTGCTACTGCAAACTGCTGTTACCAAACTGTTTGGCTCGCAGATGCATTTGTGTTTGTATTTATGTGTGTGTGCTTGCTTCTGTTTGTTTAGTTTTCCCTCTGCTAATACCCTGTGTGCATAGAAAATGCTTCGGGCATAATGATTTGGTGGAAGTAGAAGTAACACAGAAAATCATTTGTAAATTAATTCAATTGTAATGTTGATATATATGTTTATACTATTCAATGATTTGACGATAAATACAAAAAAAAAAAAAAAAATTAATTTTGTATATAAATATTAAATTGGTTGTTTGGTTGGTTGGTTAATTTTCATTACTATTATATTTCGAAGATTCATCTATATTTATTTCAGATTTAAAAACCCCGAACGGTAAAGTTTTGATAAAATGGTGTTTCATGAGAATTGAAGGATATTATCGGATCAGATTGAAAAAGTTTGAATACTCTTATAGTTACAGATGCTAACAAATACATTGAACGTTTTGTGCACCTTTAGCTTTAGAGTGAATTTGAAAAATCTATTATGTAAACCTTTTTAAACCTTGCATATTAAAGGTCTTAAGAATGCCTTGATTAGAGAAGAGAAGGAAATCAATATTAATCTATTTTCTACTATTTGTGCACTACAGGGTATTTCCTTAAACAACATTCCCGACTATGTCATCAAAATCTGTTAACTATGAAATACAGGGTATTCACTCGGCCCTGGAGTCTCTGTCTGCTTCATTTAGTTTTTGTTATTGTTAACAAGTGTGCGTGTGTTTGCCCATTTGCCACGCCTCTCAAATTGTGAGGGCAGCAAGCAGCAGGAGCTGGTGCAGAAGCAGGCAGTCATTTGCTTTAATTGCGTTCATCGTTCTCATTCTCGTTCTCATTCTCGTTGTTGTTGTCGCTTTACCTGCCACATCGCTGTAGTATTTGCGCCGGATGGCATCGGGCGCCCAGGTGCGTTCGATGATTGGTATACGCTCCTTATGGAATTTTGCACAGGTCTTGATTGCAAAATAGATGTGTGCGCCAGTTGTGTGCACCTGTTGTGGGTGAAAATGGTTTGGGCATCAGTTTTGAGTTGGAGTTTGTGTTTGTGTTTGACCGTTGTCACAGAATTTATGGTTATAGGTTTCAGATGCTAATTGTCGCAATGAACGAACCTCCCACATCAACATACCACAACGCCCACCCCACATACTCCACACTGTTTGTCTACATTTAACTACCAAGCATTATTCAACTAAGCCAGCATCAGGCAATGGTTTTAGATTTATCATTTTTACTACGTTTAATAATTCAAATAATTCAATAGAAATCAAAATTGCTATTTATTCAAAGCAATTATGAATTTAAGGTCCGCACCAACGATGCGAATGTGTAATATTTCTTTAAATTGAGAAATTCATTTCGTATGAATCAAATGAAATAAAATTGACAAAATATTTAATAACTAAATTATTTATATTTACAGATATTTATTTTGCTTAAGATTTGCATGCATTTTAATTTATTTATCAAAAATATGAAAATTTATTGATTGAAATCAGAGCTTTGCTTTTTGGGCTTTGAAAACAATTTTTTAAAATTTAAAGTGAAAAACTTTTCGATTTCTGCAAGAGGCTTTGTGCAGATTGCTATCAAAAGTGCATTCTTACATAAAGAGAGAGAGAGAGAGAGAGAGAGAAAATGAGTTAGCTGTGAAAAGACTGCAGCACTGTTAAAGGTCGTAGAGCGTTAGATATTCAATTTGTCTACTATTGTGTCTATGCTCTTCATTTATATATTGCATGACAGTGATTGCTTTGACTGAGAGTGGTAAAGGGCAAGAGAACATGCAAACGTTACTGCTTGCATACCATTAACGGTGATCTCTGTATATGTGTATGTACGTGATGCATAATGCTGAGAGAGCGCTAGTGAGCAACCGAGCGTAGGCATTGTGTTTGCATGAGTGTATTGGTGAGAGTTCGAGTAGCTTAAAGACGTTCCACCAATAAGGTACTTTTAGTGTAAACGCGTTCAAAGAGGAAGAATTAAGCGCCATAGTTGCCTTTGTATTAGTGTGTTCTTGCAAGCACTGTTAGGCTATTTTTTTGCTTAAGCGAGGCATATGCAGCTGAGTGCGCAACTACAGCCGGACATGGAGTGAAGAGCGGCCTCGATTTAGGAAGTAGCCTATGTTTAACGAAGGCGACGCCTACATAGCGAGAGGATAAAGAGCTCGAGTTGTCCTACAGAATTATGTAAATGAGCATAGGGCAGGCTCTCTTTTTCTTGAGAGCACGAGCAGAGCAGTATAAGTGTGAGTGTAATTGTGGATATGTAAAACTGATGGAGGTGTAAGCTTAACAGTGAATATTCTTCAGTATGTTACGCTCTAATTAAGGAGAGAAAAGAGCATTCGTGTAATATTGCAAATGTTGAGTCAGTGTAGGCGGAAGCATAAGAAGATCATTCAGTCTGTGCGTGCCTACCTTACAGATCGGATGCTGCTGCCGTGAATTCAGCAAATAATATCGTAATATACAAAAATTAAAGATGGATAGTGTGTGTTGATTAAATACAAAATTGTCTGCGTGAACTTTCCGCACTTTAATTTGCATATATGCTAAAAAAAAAATGTGCTTGAATTAGGGCGTCACATTTATTACTGGAAATTCGAAAAATAGAGGGAGAAAGAGGGAGCTTTGCAGCTGTGCAGTTTTTTTTTTTTTTTTTTTTTTTTTTTTTTTTTTTTTTTTTTGCAGATTGCATGCACAATAAGCATGTATGTGTGTATGTGTGTATGTGTGCACGCCTCTGTGAAAACGTATTGTGCTATTAGGACATGACTTATCTTGGACTTTAATCACATTTGCGGGTAGTTCTGCTGGCCTTCACAATTAGCTGACTGTTTCACAGCAGAGGCAATGCATACGGCTATAGGTTCAATCTTAAATGCCTCCTGTTACTTGAATATAAACCGTAATTCAACTCACACAATGCACGGCACTCCCAGCGGCCATTTCCGGCTTGGCATGCAAGACACAGGACACAGGCTTTGACTCCTTTGCTGTTGCTGCTGCTGTCGTCTCTAAGGACGCCAAGGACCAGGCTGGCGACACTCTCGCCCAGGGACAAATGTAGTCAGCACTTTTCAAAATTATTTTGCGCTGCAACATGTCGACGAAGTCGTTGTCGTCTTTACTGATGCTGATGTTGCTATCGACGTTGTTACTCCTACTGCCGCTGCCGCTGCCGCTGCTGCTGCTGCTGCTGCTGCCATCATCAGCAGGTGCTATATTATCGAAAATGAATCGGGCCAACTCATGGGCCGCATCTATGGCAAATTCGCTGTGCCTTGTGGCATTTGGGGCATTTAGAGCAACAAGTTCGACCAGGCTGCAAATGCATGTTCCATTATGAGTTATGGCCAAACATGATGCTGCCTCCTTCATCTGGACTCACCTGCGCAGCAAAGCACCTGTAAAAACAACGCCGGCACTTAGCATGGGATATGGAAACCATGTTGGATCCTTGTAGTTGGCAAAATGGTGCACAATCGTCGCCTCAGTGTCGTACAAAGCGTGTCCGTAATAAGCCAACTGGAATGGAAAAGATATTAAGAGAACAGTTGATGCTGTCAAAATTTGATATGATGAATAATATACATATATAATATATATAACTAATTGGCAAATTGTGAATATTTAACGCTTTTTAAATCATAATTAAATAATTTTCAGCTTGCCAGCTTGAAAATAACTGATGAAGTCAATATACATATGTGAATTTATTTGTTTAACAGCATTGATAATAAATTATTATTTTAGTTACAGAGCAAATATTATTGCATAATAATAAAATAAATAATGTGATTGTTAATAGTTACTTGAGCACAGAATTGTTTAAATAAGTTTATTGTTTCTGAATTAAAAATGAATCCTTATTTTGGGTGCAGATTAAATACCTTTAGCTGTTAATAATTTTATTAAAATTTGGAATAAAAAATTGTTTATATAAATTTGATAGATATGTAGTCCTATTTCAACAATTAATGAGGATTACGTATATTCACTTTTAGAATTGTTGTGGGTTTACGTTGGAAACCATATCTCTAACTTATGCCGACAAAATCTAAAAATTTTGAAGTTTATAGAATTTTTTACAGCTGTTTTCCTTTCACGATATGCTGCAAATTATATTATAACTGCATTTTATTTATAACTCTTAGCATATCAAAGTATTTTTGTATTATAATAATTATACGATTTAATTTTATGCTGTTAGTTCAACAACTTTATAAACATATAATAGAACAAAGTTAAAAGTTTTTCTTAAAAATATTTCAAAATATATTTTTGGAACTTTTCATATAAATATTTTTAAGATTAAAAAAAAAAATCTTAGTTAACACATTTTTGTGCACATTTTAAAATGTAATATTTGTTAATTTTTCTGTTCACCTCTTGCGCATCCCGCTGATGCAGTTGCTCGAGCAGACCACGCAGCGAGGCGACGTGCGTGTTGTGCTGGCACCAGATAATCCAATCGGTATTCGCGTTTAGCAGACGTGTCTGGCCTCTCAAATAGGGCAGCGCATCGAGCAGGGTCCAGTAATTGAATAGTTCATGCATTATGTGCACCTTAATGGCGTAATCGTAATCCCTGGGGATCTTGTCCGATATTTGTTGCTGGCGCAGATTATCGCGCCAGGTGCGACACTGCTCTGCCGCCTGCCGTGGACACGAAATGAGCAAAAGAATTTCACTGCCATTGCAGAGGCGCACGAGACACGTTAGGAATAGTAAGATTTGCCAACTGGGCCTTAACTGCATTTTATGCATTTTATTTGGCTAACATGTTTGGTTAATAGGAAATCACTCTCAGGACTTTGCCGTCGCGTTGCCAATCGCTCGAGATTGGAGCTCCGCCGTGCTCCGACTGCGACTGCATTAATGAGCGTGCGAAAACGTACTGAAGCAACTGTGATTGAATTTCAACATTTTTGGCGCAAACGGCCAGAACATTTTCGTTTGGTTAATGCCAATGCGCAGGCGCCAAAGTCCGGTCAAATTTCATGAATGAATTCTGTTTAGAGCGCAACAGTTGGCCAATACCAGCAAATGGCCATGGCAATGAATTAATGTGTGTCGGTGTGTGTGTGTGTGTTTGTGAGTAATTGTAAAGGTGTGGCAAACCAGGTGCACCCTGTCCGGATGATACGCCCTGTGCTACTTGTTGGAATTGACTGAACAAATATGGGTCAGATAGCAGAGATAAAGGAATGAATAATAAAGTGTATATTCAAGCCTTGCTAATGTGATTTTAATTTGATGGTTGAACTTCAGGTGAAGAGCAGGTGAGCCTCGTTATCGGAACTCCACTGTGTATATATTAATTTGCTATAGCAAACGCCGTCCATACGAACACAATCTATTGCCGAATTGCTAGATAATAAAACTGTTTGATAAAGCTTAAATTGGTTTCATATCAAACACACGCGCATTTGCATATAAAGCAAAACACATTTTAATGATTCACAGTTGTTTCTTGTAAAGCAAGAAACCGAAAACAGACTATAAATATTTGTATATGTCATTTGGGTTTGATCAGCTTTTGAATAGCTCCAATAATCAGTTGTAGCATATGTTTACATATTTATTTATTTTAGTTTTACCGCTTATGCACATAATTTTTGGGATTAAATAATTCATAATTAGTGAATACATGAATGCCATGTATAATTAGTCGTTAATATAATAAATGGGAATACTAGTTAGTTAGAGCAGTTAGCTAGAGAAATACATGAATTCGTAGTCTAATGCATGGGCGAGGCCAGTCGTGTGGTCGTCTGCATATTGTTGCTGCGATTGTTGAGCTTCAGGCGCAGCTCATTCACGTGCTTGAAGAGCAGATCCTGTTTCGAGAGCAGCTCGCGTGTGCGCTGGCAGCCATGCTGAGGCGTGCACAAGCCGGGATTCCAGCGGCAATAGAGACCCCTCCAGAGGCGCACGGCACGCACGCTGGCAATGGGGCGCAGCACGAGCTCGGCGCCATGGGTGAACGACGGGAAGAGAGGGTTCAAATACTGATCCAGTGAGGAATTAATGTGTGTCCACAGTGAAATGGTCTTGTGCTTCAGATCTGCAATGGAGTTAATTATAGTAAGAGTTACGGCATATATGGCGAACTGCTTACCCTCTGCCACACGCTCTGCCTCGGTGTTGCACAGGAAGGTGCCAAAGCGGCACGAATACAGATGATCCACAATTGTGATGAGGAAATGCTCGTTGAATTCGAATGCGTTGGTAAACTGTTGACTCACTTGCCACACGCTATCAATGAACTGCAGAAAGACCGGCGAGCGATCAGCATCCGAGTGCTTGTTATCGCCGTGGCCGATGCGTTGCTGGAATTTATGACCGAACGACAGCCATTCCTTTTCGATAAGCACTTCGAAGCCACGCACGGTGCGATAATGCGGATCCAGCAACAGCATCGACAATGCCGTCAGCTGTGCTGTGCGATCCCAGCCATCGGAGCAGTGGACCACCACAGATGTGCTCATTGTCTCCACCTTGTCGACGATGCGCACGGCTCCGGCCAGAACGCAGCGGATGTGCTTCAGCCACAATGTGCTATCGATGGCCGTCTGCCATTTGGAGTCATCGGTGGTTGGGTAGCACGCCTCCTTCACCTTGCGCAGGCTCTCGCGCATCACGTGAATGTTGTGTATGTCGAGGAAATTGATTTCCACGTTTTTATAGGCATCCTCCGATTCGTAGCCGCCGCCCTTTGCCTTGTTGGCAATGGCATTCGCACTGGGCCGAGCATCCATAATGGTCAATTTATCGGACTGTGCATTCGCTTCCATAATGTAGCTCAGATAAGTCTCATCATCGGCATTCCGTTTGCCACTGACACCGACCAGAGGTTGGGAGCAACGTGTTATGGTTGCCTGCGTGCGAGGATTCATCCATGATAGAACGGGCAAACGGCAACGCGAACGAAATTGTGCAACGCGACGCAGAAAATCATCAGAAGCTGCCTTTGGCACGGCCCACACAGCCGGATAGCTGTCGCAAATGCCGTAGAACTCGTTGATCTTTGTGACACGCCACATATCGTTGGGCACGCCCAGGCGACGCAGCTCGGCCAACGGCTCGTACACCGCCCAGCCATCCCAGCCGGCGCTCACAGCTGCATTTGCCGTCGACGGCTGAGCAGCTGCAGCGGCATGAGCAAACGCAAAGAGTTTGCCGCTGTAGGAGAGCGGAAATGCGTTGGCCTGCAGCTTCTCGAACACTGTGCGACGCGAATGATTCTGCTGCTTGTGTGCGAAGCGTAAATTGCGCATATCTTTGCAGAAGATCTCAATGCCATAGCTATTCTCGCCACGTGACGTGGCACCACCGATTTTTTCCACACGCGCAATCACGCCCAACGGCACGTCCACAACGACTGGGGGCTCCTGATCGCGCAATGGCAGCGAACGAAAGTATAGGCGATAATTGGTGATGGTTAGGGCACCGAAGACCGGACCGCGATATGGGCACACATAGGTGACATCGTTCTTTTGATCCTGATCCTCTTCGCCGTCCAAGTAGACAAAAGGCGTATCTCTTTGTTGGCCGTTTTCAGCGCCGTGTTTGGAGCCCAGCGAACTTGACTTTGAGCTGCTGTCCAGCGAGTTGCTGCTGGCCGTTTTCGATGCCAACTTGTCGGCTGAGCTTGATGTGGCATCCATTGCAGCGGAATGGTTAATTATCAACTGTTTCGGTTGTCTGATTGGACACTAAAGCGTAAACAAATTTTGCGTCGAGTGAATTATTCTTTATATTTTTGTTGTTCGCAGTCGAGACTTATCGAACGACAATCGGAACAAGTTCCAATGGAACAGCTCACCAGGTGAACTGAGTTATTGACTCATGTTATCCATATAGTTAATCACATATATTTATTATATATGCATGATAAAGCATATTACTACGATTGTGGCAGTTATCGCCAACAATATAATTGTTGTTTAATTAATAAACTATACTTTAGTACTTAGAAGCCTGAAATATAGTCATTGCACCACTCAGCACCGCTATTAGTTAACATTACATTCCCAAACTGTTACTTTACATAAAACTGACTTGAGCGCCAAATTTGAATAGCACAAACTAAGCTCATGAAGGGCCCTGTCAATATATGCAGTTCCAAACACTTTCTTGTTTTTGTAATAAATTTTAATTTATATATATGGTACATATAAAAAACTCCTGAACGGAATTTTCGCCTTTACTAAATTGTTAGTTTTCTTTTCACAATATTATATAAATATATGTACATATGTATGTGTTTTTGTTTTATGTTTCCTTGTATAATAATAGATTGTATATATTGTATTTAGTTTTACTTTAGTAAGATGTATTTCTTTCTTTTCATTTTTTAAAAGTTTTTTTTAACAAAAGTTAACAATTAAACCCATATTTTTGTTCAAATTAACTTAATTTTTTAGTTAGTATTTTTATAAATTTAGATTAGTTTCTTCTCTTTATTTCTTTGTTTTGTTTTGTTTTTTTTTTTTCATTTTTTTTTAATGTCACATTTACGTACATTATTAAATACGCTAAGCATCAACAGAAATCATTTAGCTGACTAAAAACGAAATGAGTTTTCCAATTATGAAGTTCAATTAACTTGCTCCTCAAATGCTGAGCATAAAAATGAAATTGTGGAAATTATTAAAAACTAACACTAATCGATTTAATTTTGTTACTAAAGAGACTATTTACTTAAGGAGCAGATAATGCTAGAATTGGATATATTTTCTTTAAATATTATTTATCTTGCTTTAAATGATTCATTTCATATAGTCAAATGTATCCTGTTGACGTTAGTGTATTGTCTTAGCAGTTTTTCTTTTACGAACATGTGTTTTTCTTTTGTTTAATTTTGCTAATACAGTTGAAGAAAATGAAGTTATAGTTTGCTTTTGTTTTATATACTTAGAGACAAAGCGTTAGTTGCAGTTTTGGTTGTTGTTCAAATTAATAAAAACTTATTCATTAAACTAATAATATGTTAGCAAAACAGGCAGTTTGTGTGCTTTCAACATATCCGATGTATGTCTATAAGTACATAAGAACTTTACAAATATTATCATAGTGTGTGTATGTGTATATATGTGGGTGTTTGTGTAAATGTTAGTATGAATAAACAAAGTCACTAAATAACATAATTTCATTTATTTAGTTGCCTTCGTCTTTGTATTAACTAAATTAACAACATAAAATTAAGGAGTGGGAAAGTTTTGTTTTGAAAAACAATGGATATGCTTTGTGAATACATATATATATATAAATATATACACATATATATGTCATATTTATAAATTTATGCCAAGACATTGGGATTGCAATTCGAGCTTCGAGTTTTGCCAATTACAATTTTTGCAAATTATTTATTAATATTAATTTGTAGCATGCCTAATTTGTATTTCGTATATTAGTTTTTATTCATTAATACAAAGGCTAAGTACTAGGTGTAGACTTATAGGGGTTCCTTGCCTTTAAAGCTTTTTTAACTATTTCGATTTTTCGGTTTTCCATATGTAAATAGTTAATAAATGTGGGCGCTTGCGACTTTTTACTTCAATCTTCTTCAACTTCTTCACTTTGCTCTATAATACTTTCTTTGTTAGTTACACGTATGCTTGATAATGTTAATTATACATTTATATAAATATAAATATATATATGTATAAGTGAGCTTTATATGTGTGTTGTATATTAAACTAGCCGTATTTGTTTATGTTTTTTGTTTGTTTGTTTGTTTTTTTTTTTTTTTTTGTATACACATATAAATTTTGTATATATAGTATATACATATGCAGCTGTTTACTAAATATGCCTGATTGTTGTGCATGTTGTTCTCTTCAGTTGAATTAAACTCAATCGGAGCGCCTTGCCTTATCATCAAAGTTATATATAAAGTAAACTTAAAGCATGCCATAATGTCATATGTATAGCGTTACTATGTAAAAGTTAAAAAAAAAAAAATAAAATAAAATAAAATAAAAAACAATATTGAGTTAAACAAAAAAAAAATAAACTGTACATAATGTCATTAAAGTATTATATAACAATCAAGTTTGGTTACTAATTTGGTTCGAAGCACGCATCTCTGTAAATATATATATATATATTGTTTTTTTATTCTGCAGCTAAAACAAAATACTGTTAGTCTATTGCAAGCCCAATTATACTAAAAATATGTAAATCATATATGTCACATTGTTAAAAAATTAAAGAAAATATTTATATATATCTACATATATATACATATGCATATATACATATCTAAATATATAATTAATTCATAAATGATTAGCTTCTAAAACTTGTACAGGCCTACAGCTAGCAGGGCGCCCGTGCTAATTAGTCTACATACACGCTTCTTATGTACGTAGTACGTGTTTCCTATATAGAGTATGTGCTATGTCTTGTATACATTGTCTTGTAATGGATTATATGACTATGTGTGTCCGGTTGTATATGTGTGGCTGTGAATTTATATATATATGTATATATATATATATATGAATAGATTAGACGTGCATCATGCTGCGTATTGTTGTTGTTGTGTGGGGGGGCCCAGTCAGTATTTATTCTGAGCCTGGGAGTCTCTTGCGTTGCGTCTTTCTTGTTAGAATTTTGTGGCTTAGTTGTTTTTCGGTTTTCCCTTTTCTTCCCATACATTTCATTCCCATTTTCAGTTGTCTTTCTCAGCGTTTAGGAAATATTGGCGCTGTGCTTGGCTGTTGCGCTGCCCTTGGCTTGTTTCATTTCATTTTAGACTTGGTTTACTCATCCACCGGTGTTGTAGGCGGACTATAACTGCATCAGGATGCGCTACGCTGTTCGCTATCCGGCCTGCGATCTGTGGCAATTTGTAGCAAGTTTCGGAACTCTGTGTCGAGTATTTGGCGTGCCTAAATATAAATGATTTATATTAGAAAATAATACAACAAAGTTATATGCATATATATATTGTAATATTCACCTGTGCATTTTGCGTGGGTATTTGCAAAGCTAGGCCCATGGCATTGGCATCGAAGCCCTCATCCAGCGCCATCAGACCACCATGGACGCCCGATTCGAGCAAGTTATTGGCATATTCCTAGCATGATAATAATCAAGCGACTCAGTTGCATTTAGATCAAAGTAAGAGTCTTTAATTTAAATACTCACCTTCAACCCTATGCTGCTCACCCATCGTATGACACGCTCATTGCTCCACACGAGCACATCGCACAGGCCGTTCTCGCTCATCTTGCGCCTGTGCTCCAGCTCGGTGCGATCATAGTTCAAGCGCTTGAGCATTGAGATGCCATACTGCAGGCTGGTGCGATGAAAGCTATCAACCATTTTTAACTGGCCACGCAAATCCTTCTTGGTCAAATGATCCAGCATGCGTGCATCGACTAGACACTCCATAAAGGTTGTGCGATATTGAGGCAACCCCAGCCCGGGCAGCCAGTAGTTGCCAATCCACTCGTGATTCATGTCCCCTAAACAAAGATGAGGCGGTATTTAGATATCTACCAAAAGTCTGTATGTACTATTGCTTACCAAACGCCAGTGTAGTGCGTGATGTTTGCGGAGCTGAGGGTGAAGTTAGTGAAACCATTTCCTGTATGGCCAAACGTAGTTTGAGCCTGTGTAGGGGATTACTAATACCTATAAAGTGAAAGATTTTGATTTGTTTGAATATAATTTTAGGTGAATTAACTTCATATAGAATGTTCTCACCTATTTCCCGCTGTATCTCCGTGTCGCTAAGTGCGCTCATGATAGCACCGGATTTGACATTGGCGCGACAGGCGGCCACATACCAGGCGGGCATGCCTACCCACAGCTCCAGCCAGGCGACAATGGTTGGTCCGTTCCACAGGGCGAATGGCGTGCCCGCTTTCATGGCCTCGCCCAGCAGATCGTTGCGGTAATCGTGATCTCTGCAAGACATTTTAGTTAGCAAGGAATCATCCATATTTCTGAATCATTTTTGGCACTCACTTCTTTTGCCTGCCATAGTCGACGCTGCTGATCTTCGAGCCTGGCGCGCTGGCTATACGCGGCATCATGCCGCCCGTCATGCTCATGACATCGTAGTTGGAATCCACCTCGCTCAAGCCCATCGACAGATTGCCTATAGACATCATGCTGGGTGAACCATCTGGCAGCGTGTCCTTAACGCCCTTCACCTTCTCCTTTTTGCTAAAGAAACGACCCAGCGAAGACTTAATGCCCTTCTTCTTTTGCACGGCAGCGGCGGCAGCTGCTTCCCTCGACACGCCCGACGTCGGCGTCTGCAGCATGGACATGGAACCCATTGTATTATAGTGACGCAGTGACTCTTGGCTGCCATAGCGCGAGCTGAGCGGCGACAGCCCATAGCCGTGCGAGGACAACGTCATGTGAGCATTCACATGCGGCGAGGCAGCGGGCACCATTGTGCGGCGACGCAGCTCCTCCTGGCTATGGGCGAGCGCCTGGGCGACGCGCTCCAAGCGCATCGAACGTGCCGTCAATGGCGAGGCAGCGCCGCCTGAACTCGAATCACCGGTGGTGGACATGCCGCCGTGCAGCTCCTCCCGCGATGCATCACTGGACAGCACTGGCAAGTTAAGCTGGAAAGTAGAAACTTAGGATGAGACTTCCTTACTCCCTTACTCAGGCTAAACTCTTACCGTATGGTATTTCTGCATGAAATCGCGCTGTGGACTATTGGGCGTACTGCGTCCGCTCATGGGCGGACTTTGTCTGTCCATGGAACGACCGCGTGCCAATAGATTCACATGCTCCAAACTGCCGACGCGCGACTCCAGCTCTTCGGCGCGCGCCTCTGTCGATTGTTTCTCCTCCTGGATGAGGCGAATCTCATTATTGATGGCATCCAGCTGCTCTTGCAGCATCATGGCCAGCGTTTGGGCATCTGTATGGCCGGAGGGCGACATCATATCCGTGGCAGCGGCATACATCGCATCGCTGTCATCGCAATCGCCCACACTGGCCGCCAGCTCGTACGCCTGCTGCTGGGCATGCGCCACCTGCTGCATTTGCAGCTTCTCCCACTCCTGCTCGGCCATCGAGCGGGCCAGAGCATTCTCCTCGGACAGGCGCGATTTACTCGACCGTCGCAGCGAATGCGTCTCGAAGCTGGCATGGGATGTGCTGCGTGTGAAGGCGTTACCCCCACCATCCACCACACTGCTGGGCGAGAGGCTGCGAGTCAGTGCCTCCGTCTGCTGTATATTGTAGGCGATCTCCTGCTGGAGCAGTTGACGCTTGAAATTCTCGATTTCGAGGCGCGTCTTGGACAGCTCCTTCATGATTTCGCTCTTCTCATGGTGCAGCTCCTCGGCCACCTTGCGCGCCTTCTCCAGCTCCTGCGTCAGCGCATTCTTCTCATCCAGCGCACGCATGCGCTCCTTCAGATGCACCTCCAGTCGCTCATTGGACTCGGACAGGAGCTTGTCCACCGTCGATGACAACCGCAAATTGTGCTCTTCATTCATTTTGAGACGCTGATTCAGTCTTACCACCTCGGCGTTCTTCTCATCCAAATTCGCTTCCAAGCCCCGTATGCGATCCTCCGCCGAGCCATGACGTTCTTGAGCCTGCAAAGCGTTCAGCCAAACACGTTTAATAATGCATATTCAAGGGGTATCTCTCGTCATAATGACAACAAATTAGTGTTTGTATTAGTAATGAAAGCTAAATGTGAGGAGTTTTCTTTTGTTCTTGTTTTTGTGAAGGGTATCAGTAGTCGGTGCGCTGAGTTCTTGTGCAGGACAGAATAATAGAGAAAGAGTTGTATATATTCTTGGATATTGTTCTTGTTGTTGTTAGTAAGTGGATTTTTGGAAATAGAAAATCTGTACGAAAATATATACTATATAGACTCAAATTACGTTACACAAAAATTAAGAATAGATATACTATATAAAAAGAATACAAAATTTAGTTGTATAATTGTTGATAATTGAGATTATACTTATGGAACCTGTCGGCGCGCATATTAGTTCGAGTGCATACCTTATTTCCTACCTTTGTCAATGCCTCCATGCGCGCCTTTAGCTGCTCCTCCATATCCGGCTGCAGTTTGGCATGTTGGGCTAGCTTTTGCTCTGAGAGTTCGAGTTTCTCTTCGATGGCGCTGATTTTCTCTTCGTGCAGCTGTCCATGGATGATTTTGTATGTTTTTGTTTTCGATTTTTTGTGGGGTTGGGTGTAGTTTAATTAGTATGTTTTTTGTTTTTTTTTTTGTTTAAATGCAATATGGAGAGGGTACATCATATTATGTAGTATTAGTCACAGTTTTGTAGCGTTTAAGCAGGCATGGGCGAAAACAAGACACTGGCTTCAGAAGTTTTTGCTTGCATGAATATGTGATGCATTTTCTGGGAAAACTTCTTCAAAAGAAAAACTTGGTTGAAAACATTCCATTGGATCAGAAAATTAAAAAAAAATCTTTCGCTTCTATTTCAACAGTTGCTACTCTGCTATTAACATCTTGCTGTTATAGTAAATTCTCATCGTGTTATTAACAGAAGTACTTAACAGAAAAGAGCCAGACATATAAGGCTAGTCGTGCTAACAGCTGTTAACCTCTTCAAAATTATTTTAAAAAGTTTACAAAATAATAATAAGGCAAAATTCATGATTATATTCACACTGAAAAATTATGTCATAAGCTTAAATATTTCCTGACTTTATAACGCTGTCCAAAATTGCTGAGAAACATAATAATTAATAGCGGAAATAAGACATTAAAAATACACATATATAGATAGGTAGGGTAGATTGCTTTGCAGTGCAGTGTTTTGATTAATTAATGAAATTCGCCCATGCCTCGAAACCATAACCAATTCCATGTATATATAGATTTCTGTCTATTTATATTTATACGCACCTTTAGCTGTGCCTCCTTGTGCCGCAGTTCCTGCTCCAGTTTCTCGTTCAGATCGTGCAGCGAGGTGGACTCCCGTTGAGCATTAAGATAACGTTTCTCCAGCGTAGCTATGCGCTCCTCCTGAAAGTGTTGCATATGTGATATATTTCTCGTATTTCTAATCAATCTTGCTACACTATACCTGATCTTCCTTTTGTGCCACATTTTCGCGCAAATCTCGCTGGAGCTTCGAGCATTGATCCTGCGCCTTGCAATGCTCCTTTTGCACACGCGACAGATTCTCTTCCAGCTCATTAATCTTATTGTTCAGATCGGAGACGCGACGCTGCCATTGCGACAATTCAGAGGTCTACGAATAATGAGAGAAAGTTAAAGTTAGTTATTAAAGGTATATTAATATCATTATCGAATATATCTATGTGAATTGGAATTATATTATTCTCATGCTGAGCTGCTGCTAAATATATTAAAATTTTAATTTTATAATTAGCAAATACTATTCGAATTTGTGTGCATTTCGCTTAAGTTCCTTATCTCATGTACGGCCTTGACGATTTAATTATTTACGTAAGCTTAGATCAATGTCTAATGCTGTTGATAATCAAACAACAGTCAATCGCATTATATTGCAACAACAATGAAAAGCCTCAATTATGTTAAGCACTTAAAATAAGGTTTATCGTCATTCGAAATAGTTGTTTGCTTTATCAACACATGGACACATCTCGCTGTGAGTCATCGCTTGTCTAACAGCGTAGCTCGAGTTGTTGGCAATGATGTTATGTTGTTACCCCTGCCGCGGCCTGCTCACCTGCTTCTCGATGATCGTTTGTAGCTCGTGTGTTTTGGCCGCATATTCGTTTATTTCGCTCGCATCGCCGTTGACCCCGCCGCCGTTGCCGCCAGCCAGCTGCAACAACAAAAGGTATAGAATGTAAAATACACGCTTGATTGCATAAACAGATATCACACACACACACACACGCGCGCACACACACGTACACACACCTTCTCTTTGATGCCATTTTCTCCGGTTGCTGCGCTTCCCGAGCTAATACCGCCACCGCTTTGCAAAGCGCCAGTTTTATATTGGTTTAGCTCCTCTTTGGTTGTATTCAGCTCTTCCTCCAGCGCATTGTTCTTCTCGATGGACAGACGCAGACGTTCGCGCACTTTCTCGTCCAGAGCCTTGTGATGCTCGAACAGAGATTTGAGCGCTTTGAGCACCTCTACTTCGCTGGAGACGCCGCTCTGCGCGGCCGCCTGTCGCTTCACGACGGTCATGCGCAGCGATCGCTCATGTCGCGACACCAAGCACTCCAAATGTTCCAGCAGCAGCTATAACAATATATACAGATTTAGTTGGATTTATGCCATATATAGCTAAAGCCATGTGCAGCATACCCGCGTATTGTTGCGCTCCGCTTTAAGCTCTCCGATTTCTTCATCACGTTCCAGCAGAGTTTCGCGCGCTTGCGTCAGCTCCTTGGTGAGCGTAGCGAACTCCTGGAAAAGCGAAAGTCATAAAATGAGATTATATTTATTGAGATTGAATATTTGTTCACTTACCTGCGGCAGATTGGCATTGATTTGACGCTGTAAGCTGTCCCGCTCCTTTTCCACTTCGTGCAGCTTCACCTCCGTTTCGCCCAAACGCTCCTGCGCCTCGCGCAAACTATCCATTAGCTTGTCCCGCTCATCGAGCATGGACACCATCAGCTGCTCAAAGTTCGCATCTTCGCCGCTGAACTGCGAGGAGCGCTGCGATATGCTGTCTTCCGATATTGTGGGCATTACGTCGCACATCATGTTCCACATTATTTAGTTGGCCACCAGAGCACGGGAACGCATGTAAGACTGGAAAAAAAATTAGTTTTAATTATAGAAATCACTTTCTTCATATGGAGTTAAATAAGAGTTAAGAGACTAATAACTTCAGCAGTTTTACATGCGAGGGTGGTCTTAAAAATATGTATTATATGTATTTTTAATAAAAATCATTTAGGCAGCCCTCGTAGAAGTTAATTTAATCTTTTGATATATTTAAAATCTAAAAACTGATTTTTATTGAAGAGACTTTGTATAAAATAAACTAAGATTGATTAAACAGCCCTAGAGATATGAGTCTAATCTTGTTTCCTTAAAGATCTCGTATTTGATTGCATTGAAAATAATCATCAATTTTATACTTTCATTGAATAGTATATTATTTAAGATTGTCATATTCTGAAGAATTTTGATTTCATATGAAAATATATATACATACATACATCTATGTATATTTTTAATGTAGATTATTTTATTTATAACTCTGCTTACGCACGCAAACTAAGAGTAAATGCAACATCTATATAAATATGCACACATCAAATATAGAACATCAATGTCTTAAAGCTCTCTTTTAAAATACGTCTAAACATTTAACCGGTTTGAGCCGGTATAACACAATTTTCCTATTACTCAAATTAACGATTTCGAAAAACCAGTATAAAAATGCGAGAAATTTAATTTAAAATAAAAAATAACTGTTAATATATGGTTTGCCTTAAATCGTTGGCTAGCCAATTAAAACGGTTAAATAGCCTACGCTTTTTGCCCACGCCTCTGGAGCTTTACTTTTTGTTTATGCTCAGTTTTCCGCCCCCTTCCAAAGTCGTTTACGCCCGTGTATTGGTTTAAAGACATTCCAATTGGACCAACACACTGAACATGTCTAATAAGGCTTTTATCATAGGCGCCGCATTGATAACAAGTTTTTTTTACAGCAACACACGTACGCTACGGACACACGCACACCCATACACATACACACACCGCTTATGTGTGTATATACATACACGCATGCCAGCACGCACACATATGTACAGCTTTTTCTTTTTTATATTATAATTTTTTAAATTTAAATTAATGTTTCTCACATGCATTGAACACTAATTATAGCAAACACATAAAAATTAAGAGTCGCGGGTTAACAGCTGCTGCACTTGGTGGTTTAATGATTGGTAAAACGCCTTTTCACGAGCATAGAGCGACGGCTTTTATGCAAAAAGAGCAAAAAACTCCCTTCCTCCCTGGCACAAACACGTACCCCGTAGCCAACAAGGATCGTTCGCACGGCGACAGCGCAGCAGCAGCAACAACAACTTTTGTTGCTGTTTAGCTTTTGCATATATATCTATTTAATTGTTGCAATTGTAGCAAGTTTTATATATTTCCGATTGATTTTTATGTGCGAAAAAAGGCAGCTCGTTTCTTTTTTGGTTGCCACTTAGGTAAAAATGTAAATGTTGCCATCTAGTTTCAATATTTTGTATATTTTTAGCACTCTGGCAGGCTAGTTTGTTTGAGAATATATCATTTATGCTATAATGTTTTATTTAACTTAAAACTATTTTAAAAGGTTATTAAATAAAATGACAATAATTGTAAAACTGCTTAATTAATATATATTGTATATTATGATTGCATTACATGCCATATCGAATGTAACGGCTGACTATCGATAAATAACAGTATGAGCAACATTGCTCTGTTATTGTAACATGGCTCACAGTTCTTTTTTTTTAGCAATATCACTCACAGTTTTAGCCGCATTGCCTACAGTTTTTACACACAGAGCAAGCGCCCTCGTTTATGTTTTATTTTTTAGTGTTATAATTAATAAAAATAAACAATTAGTATAGTCTTAACGTGTTGCCATAGAAATCAATAGAGCGCCGCAGCTAACAACAAAATGGGGTAAGTACGAAAAATATGTCTAATACAATTTCAAACGCTGTAAATTGTGTGAAAAATCGACGCCGACGTTTTCCTTGCTGATGCTATTGTTGTTGTTGTTGCTGCTGCTGTTGGTGTTTCTATCACGGTTGTTGTTGCTGCTGCTCGTCTCGGATAAGGTGTAAATATATGCCATATATACAATGAGAATTGATGAAATATGTACGTAGGTGTAGGCTGGCAAACGCCGCCCGTCGATACCAATTATGCGCGTGTAAGTGTCTTCTGTATGTGTGTAGGTGTAGGTGTGCGTACGCGCATTTGTGTATGTGTGCGTGCGTGTATGTGTGCAGTAAACTTGAGCAAAATCAAAACGAGGCTACAAAACACTTAAGCGCATAATGCAATTTAGTCACCAAGGCAAGAGTCGACACCCCCTAACCCTAACCCCCTCTCCCATTAACCGTAACCCCTGCCACCAGCACAACCTCCACCGCAACCATCAACCACCAATAAGAACAACAATGCCAATGACATGGTGCCGACAATATCAATAAGAATTACAACAACAACAACAGCAACAGCAGCAGCAATAATACCCAGCACCTATGTATGTTCTTTTGTAGCTTTTGAACTGAGTGCAAGATTTGTTGTTGTTGCTGCTGCTGCCATGACAGCCGTTTCAGATATATGTATATACTAAAATTATAAATGTTTACGCCGCCGTTCTATCTAAATATTCAATTTGTTATCTAGAGCTTCGGTATTATGTGATGTCTGAAATGTTTGGAATTTGATTGAGCACTCTAAAAAAAAATTACAGTGAACTATCCCCTTAAGTGAACAGGCGGAATAGAATGATTTATCATTTACAGTGAACTTTGCGTGTGTTGAACAATTAAAAAAAGGTGCCAGTGTTTATTGAACATTTTAACCATATCGTAAACTATGGATATGCTGAGCAGGCGGAAATTAGATTTAATTAAGTAGAGGAAAATACAGTAAACTGTGCTTATATTGAACAATCCCACACAGGTTATCGAATAAGGACTTGATTAGGAATCTGAAAAACACAGTGAACTAAGCTTATGTTGAACAGTCTTAAAACTTTTGTTTGAATATATACAGTAAGCCATGGACAAGCTAAACATTGAGTTAGTTAAATATATAAATAATTATAAAATGCGATAAATTATTTTGCATCAAAATGGCAATATGTAAACAACTTCAATAGGCTTTGAAAAACACACTTATATTTAGTTAATTAACAATTTACATAACTAATTATTGCAAAATATTACTTTAAAAATAATATTAATTTTATGATTATAAATATTTCTGTTAATGTAAGGAATTAATTTTTCTTGCATTTCTTGAACATATTTATTTATTTTAGTTTATTTTTTGTTAATTTTAAAACTTGATTCAACAATAGTTTAAAAAATAAATAAATAAATATGTTTTTAAAAATATATTTTAATGATTTAATTTGATTAATTAATAATAGTTTATTATTGCTATTATGTATGTATTTCTTGCCTACATAAGTCACGTTAACATAATTAATTAATTTGAGTTTGCAAGTTGAGCAACATATGGAGGGCTCACTGTATCGATTGCTAGTTTGTTCGCATTTCCTCTATATCAATTAGCAGCCCGCACAGCCATATAAAGATCTAAATATACCGTTAGCAACTTGGTCACATATTGTATTTATTGTACGACAACCGACTTCCTCCTTCCTTCTCCCACTGTCCCTTAGCAAGCGTGTACAAATTAAATATTAAGCCGACGTGCAAGAATTTAAATGGAATTTTTAATTAATCACCTGTGGGTGCTGCTGCTGCTGCTGCCGCCGCTGCTTCCATCTCCTTTACTCCTTTCATCTGTCTATCTCGCACAAACAGAGAGCAACCGATTTTCACTTGCCAGGCGCACGTGTTCCATATTGATCCAAAGACGAAACGCACATGGATCACGGCCAGCATGAAGGCGGTCAATGTGAGCTTCTTCTACGACATCTCACGGAACTTATACCGCATCATTAGCGTCGAGGGCACCAAGGCGGTCATCAATTCAACAATTACGCCCAGCATGACATTCACACAAACATCCCAAAAGTTTGGACAATGGAGCGATGTACGCGCCAATACGGTTTACGGCCTGGGCTTCTCCTCGGAGGCCGAACTGACAAAGGTCTGTCTGTCTATCTAAGTGTACTATCCCCCTTCATCAATGATCCTATCGTCATTTTTGTCCTTTCCTTAGTTTGTGGAAAAATTCCAGGAGGTTAAGGAGGCCACCAAGAATGCCATGAAATCTGCGAACGGATCGAACGCAGTGACGCCCACCACCTCGGCGAATACATCTCCGATATCGGGACGCGCTGTGGGCGCCATGCAGAATGACAACACCAACATCGATCCTCACACCGTGGAACCGCCGAATTTAAGTAATACCAATACACAGAATGCCAATCCCGATAGTCCCTCGCATAAGCTGCTGAACACTAGCGACGGCAAGCAGGACATTGGATCGGCCACGCCTTCGCCACAGCCAACGATGGGCATAGTGGCTGGCACAGCGACCCTTGCTGGCAGTGGTAGTGGCGGAGGCGGTGGCGGTGGTGGTGGTGGTATTACAATCTCTTCTGGTGGCAGCATCGTGGGCATGCACACTGGACCTGGAGCGGGCGCAACGGCCGAGCAGCAGCTCAAATATGAAAACGAACGCCTGAAAATGGCACTGGCGCAGAGGTAGGAGACAGAGAGACAGACACATATATGCAGTGGTTGTCCAGCTTCTATTATAATCGTAAAATGTATTCCAAACAGTTGCGCCAATGCCAAGAAGTGGGAAATTGAGCTGGCCACCTTGAAGAACAATAACATACGCCTGACCAGCGCCTTGCAGGTGTGTATTACATTTACAATTTGTCCTTGCCGGAATGTGTTGTAAAGCTCACACTCACGAATCCCACAGGAATCGACGGCTAATGTGGACGAATGGAAGCGCCAGCTGCACACCTACAAGGAGGAGAACATACGCCTCAAGCGTGAAATGGAACTGATGCGTGTTGGCGGCGCCGGCGGTGCTGCTGCTGGTGGCAGTGCCTCAGAGGATGAGCTGCGACGCGAGGTGGCTGCGTTGAAGGCGCGCACAGAGACGCTGCAGGCGGAATTGCTGCAACATGAAATAGAGCTTAAAACGGCCAATATGAGTTTACGTGAAAAGTGCAATGATCAAACTGTAATTAAACATATATTCTATAACTATATATATATATATGTGCAGAGACTAATGTAGCTAATTGCAGCTGGCAAAGATGAGTGAACTGAATGTGCTGTTCGCCAAGAGTCTGTCGGATCTGTATGCGGTGCAAAAGGATATGGAGAATGTTATACATCCTGCCAAGTGCACTTGAGACGCCGAGTTCGGTGCACACAGAAAGGTTGATTGCTTGAACTTTGTTTGTTTGCCAACTATAATGGGATTATATTAATGCAATTGTTTTCAATTTAGGTTTCAGCGCAGGAACAGACTACAATGGCAACCACTATAACATCAGAGACAACAACGACAACAGCAACAACAACTAGCAAACGTTATTTAAGCAATTATCTAACGGCCGACGCCGAGAGCACGCTGTCCAATGTCACCTCCATACACACACAGCTGCAATCGTCGTCGCATTACGAAGCGCATAACATGGCCCAGCTGCAGGCGTTAGATAAGCACTCGTCGCTACTGCAGGAGCTGCATCAGCGTCAGCTGCAGGCCGCTGCCATGTCGCGACCCAACTCCGCTGTCACTGATGCAGCCGCCTCCAGTGGAGCTGCCGGCGGCACCAAAACTGCCACCATACTCGTTTCCAAATCAAAAACCAAAACTGGGCTGCCCCTGTTGCTGAAGAATTCCATTAACAATTAGGGAAATGAGAAATGAAAAAAAAAAGATAACAGAAAAGGAAAATTGAAACAGAAAATCAATAAGCAGACGCGAATCATTGCATTTTTGTAAACTTTGTATTTGGTAGTTTTGTATACGAAAGCAAAACGGAACAGAAACCACACTCTCAACTCAACTGAACTCAACTCAACTCAGAAAAARGAAAAACACCCACACACTCACTGTAGGTTTATATGTATATGTATTTAATGTATCTTTCGGTATTCATCCCCAACCCAAAGTGAACAAATTGCCCAGTATTCCAGTATTCTTTTCAAAATTGTACGCATTTTGTCTGTGTCGTGGTAACTTTTATAGCATTTAAGTCGAAAACAAGTTTTTAAAATTCTCGAACGCATTCAAGTGCAATATAAAGGAACCTTAACAATTAATTGATATTATGTGCTCCATATAGTTTTATTTCTTCTGCTAATTGTTAATTAATTTTTAATGAGAGCTTGACAATGAATCCAAAGTCCCGGAATCGAAAACCTCTGACGAATGATATACAATTTTATTTATTTATATATAAAAAATCAAATCAAGAAAATGTGCTCGAAAAATTTTCTGGTATTTTTAACACATAAATTTTGGTATTTAAAAAACTGTCATAAAATTAATTTATATATTTGTATTTTTATTTTGTAATTTGAAATGAAGATTTGAATGAAGTTTGTTTATTTCTTATCAATATTTCTCTTTAGATTTGCAAAGTTTTAATTAGCAAATTTATATGAACAAACTTATTTATTGCAATTAAACTTTAACTAACAATGACTTAGACGACGAAGCATACTAAATCACATAAAGAATAATTATTTTATAAATGAACAAATAAGAAAATACGAAACTAGCAAAGTAAAATTAAACGAATACCAAGTCAAGTATGTACGTGCAACAGTGGAAAACTAGTTTAATATATTAACAAATTATATAAATATATATGTATATGTACATATGTACATATATACATATGTATGTGTATCGAATGAACAACAAATGCAACTTGAAAACCGCAAGCAAAATAATATCAATATGCAATTTCCCCTCTAGACACTTAGAAACACACCCACACACACCTACACCCAGACTCCCTCCGTTGCGAAACGGGGAAAATGGGAAGGAACGCTTAAACGGTTATTTGGATGCCATATTGTTATGCAATTTGACCGGTTCGTTTTTTGCATCAATAAAATTATCCAGTTAAAGCAAAAGGTAAATAAAATCAAATAATAAACGAAGCAAATGTTGAACATACAAAACTTAGCAGTTAAAAGCAAACAAACATATGAAATAAATAAAAATAAAATTCAATATGATTAAAAACAAAATACTTTGATGAATTCTTGAGGGCGGTTTTTTGTCTGAAAGCGATCAACAAATTTAATATTATTTGTGAATTAAACGCAAAGAAACATATGAAATAAATAAAATTAAATTTCAATATGATTAAACACTAATCGATTTTTGTATTTTTCTGGGGGAGGATTGCTAACATTGAAAATTTGTTTATATAAACTGGTTTTAATAATTGTGAACTTTTTGTTCTTTTGTATGTTTTTAAAAAATATAGTATAAGCTAATTTAATAATTTCCTTTTTTTCAGGGCCCCGAATCAATTGTTTTTTAAATTCCATGTAAATCCAAAATTTTTTATGTTAAAATTGGAAACCTTCCAAATGGGAAAACTTAACAGGAAACCGATAATAAAATGGCAGCCTTAAAGAATTTAAACACACATTGATAATTTTTTGCAATAGATTTTCTAATTAATTATTTGTTGCACTTTAAAGAAGAATCTTAGAAAAGCTACAATAATCTACAATATATAAATGTAATATGTACATAAATATACATGGATGTGTGATTTAAACAAATAGGGATTTAAACAGTTCCGTCTTGGACTCATCCGTCCAGTCACTTGCTTCGTTGGGAGCCATGAAATTGATGAGCTTATTATGCACCACATAGCTAAAGGAAAGACAGAGAGAGAGAGAGAGAGAGACGGTAAGTTAAACTATTATTTTATTATAGTTTATTATGTTTGATGCCTACCGCAACTTTCTGCCTTTGCTAGCCCTGGTGTCCACTTTCTTTTTCATCTTCTGGCGCAGCTTCTGCAGCTCCACAAACTGTTTGGTTATGTCGCCCATGCTGGACGTGGTGCTGGCCTTGTACTCAATCAGTTCGCGCAGCTGCTGATGATAGAAATCGCTGTCATCGTAGATGTGCGTTTGCCTTTGGTCCTTGTTGCTTAATTCGGAATTCTCTTGGTCAGCCTCTTGCTCCAGCTGTCGTTTCTCTTGCTGCTGCGGCTGATTGCTCTTGAGAGTTTGGGATTTCTCAATGAGTGCACTACGATTGGCCAGCGCACTGTCGATCTTCTTGATGACATCGTAATCGTCTTGCATGGATTTTCGCTTCGTACCCGCTCCAGGTGTCAACAGCTTGGTGCGATCATCCCATTTGAGCAGCACCTCATTCCGATAGCTTCGCATATTCTCGAAATTGCTTTGCAGCGCGCTCGCAAAGCATTTGCTCGGCGGCTCCGACTCGGAGCTGGACTCTGCTGGCAGTTTCCGCTTGATGGCTTGGCGCAGCTCACTGTGCTGCTGCGTAAGCACCGACTGCAGGGCGAGCAGTTGATGCAGCAGCTTGGAGCTTCGCTCCTGGGCTTCCTTTAGCACCGTTTGCAGCTCCTCATTCTTATCGCTGAGCGCTTGCAGCGTCTCTGGAGGAGGCAATTGATTCGACTTGCTGGTGAATTTCTGTGTGTTGATGCGTAGCTCCAAGAGACGCTCCCAAATCTGCAGTTGATTCTGCACACAGAGTCCTTTCTGGACTTCGGCTTGTTGATTGGTTTTGGACATGATTTCGTTCATATCTATTGTCTCATTTTCTGAGTCGTTATCTTCTGAATCGCTCTCCTCGTCGTCGTCATCATCATCCTCATAGTCATCATCACCATCCTCGTCCTCGTCTTCATCGCTATCATCATCTTTCTTCTGCTCTCCGCCATTCTCATAATCCACGCTGCTATCATCATCTTCACTTTGAGCTCCACTCGTATCAATTTTTGCAGCTTTCAACTTGCTGTTAAAAGCCTTCAATTTCTCAGCTTCATCCTCATCTGTGTCACTCTCTTCATATGGCACCTCCTCGTCCTCCTCATCTTCACTTTCTTCTTCGTTGTCCTCCTCCTCCTCCTCAAGTTCTTTGCGACTGCTTATTTTGCCCTTGTATCGTTCGCTCTGCTCGGATAACAATTTCACATTCCGTTTACGAAAATCTGTGCTGCGCGCATCGGGCAAATCGTATTCATCCTCAAAATCCGCAACGCGCGCTTTGGTGGCCACATCAATGTCAGATTCATCATCGCTCTCGCTGTCATTGGGATGGGCGAGCAGTTTGCTCACCTTTTCGGCCACTGTCTCTGGTTGCTTCTTTGATTTTCTCAACATTTTCGTAGCTATTTCATTTATTTTTCTTAACAAAAACAAAACCTGTGAAATCTGCCGCAACACGTGAAGGTAGAATTCACTCCGGAACTGAGTCCGATTGTTAGAGTTAGTGTGTAATTGAACTAAATCGTGCTCATCGATATTTGGACTAAGTTATTATATCGATATTTTTGAGCAACAGGTTAAACTGTGCTACAAAAATATAATCAATTTTTAATTAAAATTGATTTTCCTTAATCAATTTTATTATTAATCTCATTATACAAGATGTCGAGTGTACTGTTAAGATAGCTGACGCAAAGTTAGAGTACTCGTTATATTTAAATATAATGCCTTCAATTATTTTACAATCAAATTGGATGTAAATAAATAAATAAATAAAATAAATAAATTATTACCACATTACATTCAAATTATTCTTTACTGTTTATAGTAATGTATTTGAATGTTGTTGAGGACAGGAGTTTATTGTATTTTGAAAACTGCTTAGTTTGGAGAATATTTTATTGATGCAAAAAACGTAGCATACTTACAGGCTGTACATTTTAATTTAAAATGGTTTAATATATTTTTTAATCATTCAGCATCATCATCAATGAAACAGCATATTTTTTCACTATATTAAAACCATTTAAAATTGTTACTTTAAAAAGTTATATTTTATGTCTAGACATGCACTTTTAATTATAGTAATACTGTATAAAATGCACTATAATTATCAGTGTAATAGCACGAGTTAATGTTGATATATCAATAGATGGAATTCTAAATTGCAAACTCTTTAATACACAAACTCTCGACACGCTGCCTCATTAAAATGAACAATGTGATTGCCTTATCAGAGCAGGTGCATCTTGATAACTATTCGCACACACATTCTCAGCCACACATACATATATCTATGTGTGTGTGTGTATGAATGCCAACAGCTGCACACACTTGCGCACACTATTCATAGCATACAATGGGGGGCTGTGAAATGTCATATGGACTGTGGACATGAACTTGAAATCCTTTTTGTTGGGACCAATTTGTGCTCATTATATAAATGAAATGTTTGGCAAATTGCGACTTGGCATTTATGGGCAGCACAAAAAAAAAAAAAGAGTAGTAGAGAGTAGAGTAATATGTAGAAAAATATGGACAAAATGGTTAACCTTGAAAAGTGCAGAAATGCGGTTCAAAACAGACGCCAATGGGCGGCCAAAGTCAACGGAAGTGTTGCCGGAAAAGGATAATTTACGCAGTATTTCAATTTGTTTAATAGTAAAACAAAAATATATATATATA